CATTTACCGGTACACATTACAGTACAGTACCATTACATTAAGCAGCGTCTTCAGTGGGACAGCAGTTGGTGAAGTATGGTCCCGGAGAGCTCCCTGTCACTGCGCTGGCCGAAGGGAGTCCCCTGTCATCCGCTTAATACAGCATGTCCCTGCAGGCTGATACCATCTCTCCTGCTCGTCAAGTTCCCCCTCCTGAACTACAACACAACGTCTGAACAATGTAACATTATTATTGCTTGCTGGAAGCAATGCATGATGGGATATGTAGTCTTGAGAAATGAAGATTGCATCACACCAAGCAGCAGGGAAGGACATGCAAAGCACACTGGGAATCCAGGAAGTTGTTGGAAGTGATGGGCAGACAGAAGGCAGCACTCACTACATAAAAAGGATTGTAGTAATCTTTGATTGTATTATCAGCAACAACTCTACTATGTATTCCTATTACACTGCTGATGTTATAACAGGAGAGGATACGCTGGGACCTTACATTTCCTTTAATGCCCTTCGTTGTCAGGCAATGGTAGTGGCGTAACAACCGGGAAGGGGGGGGGGCGTTGCGCCGGCCCCGGGCGTAAAGTTGAAGGGGGGCACCGGCCGAAAATGGCACTTTTGGCTAAATGCCGAAAGTGCCATTTTCCTGCCGTTTTGTCGGCGCAGCCGTGATTTCTTTCCTCCCCGCTGGGCGCTGCTCTTTGTCCCAGCGGGAGGAGAGAAAGTGACAGTCGGCCGAGTGACTGTCTCTCCTCCCACACCGTTCAGCCACCTATAACAGTGCGGCAGAGCGGTGTGGGAGACAGCGCTGTCACAGGAGGCTGGGCTCTCCTCCCTGCACCGCTCACTCAGCCTCCTGTGACAGCGTGTCAGAGAGGAGAGTGAGAGCAAACACTCAGCGGTCAGTGATCGCTCAGTGTTTGTAGATAATTGAGGATATGGTATGGTTACTATATCCTCAATTATGAATGAATGAGAAGTGATCTACATCACCTCCTACATCACTTCCTGTTTATTAATAATTGTGGTTATAGTAAACATACACTGTACTCATGTTATGAATGAACAGGAACACTCATAAAGGATTCCTGTTCATTGATAACAGGGGACACAGAAAAAGAGATTGAGGACTGTGTTCTCAATCTCTTTTTTTATTTTAAAAGGGAAATTATATGCCCCTGAGTGGGGCTACCCCTGCATTGCAAGGATTAAGTGATTGTTTTGGTCTAGGGTCTAAAATAAAGCAAATATACTCACCTGATCCTCGATCCTGCCTCGCTGCTAGACTGGATCCTGCAGCCTCTTCTCCTTCAAGCTCCGGTGGTCTGAGGAACCGTGACATCATCACGTCCAGTGACTTGCATTGGACATGAGGACGCCGACGGACATTTGACATCCAGAGCAGAGGGAGGAGAGAGGTGAGTGGTCACCTCCGAGGATCAGGTAAGCAGGGGCGTCCCGAGGCTGGGTGCGCGATGACGTCATCGTGCACGCACGGGGCTCTTCTGATACCTGCCGGCGTCCATCACCAAGATGGCCGAGAGAGGAGGGGACAGTCACCCGGCAGGATAAGGTATGCCGCCGGGTCCCCTCCTCTCTCCTGATACTGTCGGGCGTTCGGTCCATGACCAAGCGCCCGACTTTTCAGAGGGGGTGACACCAAAATTACTTTTGGTGTCACCCCTCCAATGGTGTCACCCGGGTGCGGTCCGTACCCCCCTTGTGACGCCACTGCAGGTAAGTATCTCTTTTTTATTTTAGACCCTAGACCAAAACAAGCACTTAACCCTTGCAGTGCAGGGGTATCTCCTCAGGAAGGGTTCATTTGTAATATGCCCGAAGTTCCTTTTTCAGTCGCCTATGGTGCAGCAAGTATACTGCAGATACCTGGAACACCTGGCATCTCGTCCACAGGTATCGGCAATATGCTTTCCGCACCATGGCTGATTTAGGATGTCTGAACCAGGCCGAACCCTCACTCTCCAGGGCCAGCGAGCTGATAGCGGTTTATAAAGCGGCGTCCTTTTTAATATCCTTTGGCCGCAGTGACTAAGTGGGAGACGTTTTAGGCGAACGGCCGTCCGAAATTGTCTGCCTAAATGCGTCAAATTGTCAGAGCCAAGAGAGCTTGTCGCAGTCACTAATGCAACGTAACACCTCTGCTTCTCAAATATTAAATATCGCCTTTTAAGAATCCTCTGAATTCCCTCGTGGAACGTTTTCGGAATATTAATGAATATTTTTTTTTCAATAAACGCATTAAAGAAAGAAATCAATGGCTCCATTAAGGACAGCCTGCTGACGGGGCCTGATAATTGCCGGGGTTACTCATACTGAGAATTGTCAGCCTTGTCCGCACGGCCCAAACACATGGGCTACAGACAGTTCTGGGAATAGTAGAGTGTGCTGCGCTGAGGCTTGGAGATCACTATCCAACAGCAGAACATTCTGCATGGAGTTTAGACAGTGCGTGACCATTGTGGTTTTGTTTGTTTCCAAGGGGCTGCCACCTTTTCTTCAAGCAAAACCTGAACCCGCTAGTGCTGCGCTGCAATTTTTTTCAAGAACATTTAGTGCTAACAGAGATTGATGGCCCTAGAATTATTGCTCTCACCCCGACGCTCACGGTGATATGTAACATGCGAGGAGAGACAGCCAGTGGAGCGAGAGAGGAGAGACAGCCAAGAAAGAGAGTGAGGAGAGACAGCCAGGAGGGAGAGCAAGGAGAGAGAAAAAAGAGAGACAGTCAGGGGAGAATGTAGGGGGGACAGCAATGAGAGAGGGAGAAGAGAGACAGACAGGAGAGAGAGCGAGGAGAGACAGCCAGGGGAGAGAGCGAGGAGAGACAGCAAGGGGAGAGAGAGGAGAGACAGTCAGGAGAGAGAGCGAGTAGAGACAGCCATGGGAGAGAGAATGAGACGAGACAGCCAGGAGAGACAGCCTGGAGAGAGCGAGGAGAGACAGTCCAGAGGGAGAGCGATAAGAAACAGCCAGGGGAGAAAGTGAGGGGAGACAGCCAGGAGAGAGAGCTTGCGCCCCGAGTTCCAGCGTCCCTCCGTGTCCTATGCCTCCTCCATACACTCAAGTTGGAACACCAGGACCCTGTCTGTTACCCCTGTCCACCTGACATCTTGTGTCCGGGTTTCAGCTGGCCTGAAAACCTGACACAACACATACAGGACTCCAAACCCCTTACTGTCTCCTGGCTGTATCTCCTCACTCTCTCTCCTGGCTGTATCTCCTCGCTATCTCTCCTGGCTGTCTCTCCTCACTCTCTCTCCTGGCTGTCTTTCCTCACTCTCTCTCCTGGCTGTCTTTCCTCGCTATCTCTCCTGGCTGTATCTCCTCACTCTCTCCTGGCTGTCTCTCCTCACTCTCTCCCCGGCTGTATCTCCTCGCTCTCTCTCCTGACTGTCTCTCCTCTCTCCCCCCTGGCTGTCTCTCCTCGCTCTCTCCCCTGGCTGTCTCTCCTTTCTCTCCCCTGGCTGTCTCTCCTCACTCTCTCCTGGCTGTATCTCCTCGCTATCTCTCCTGGCTGTCTCTCCTCACTCTCTCCTGGCTGTCTCTCCTCACTCTCTCCCCTGGCTGCCTCTCCTCACTCTCTCCCCTGGCTGTCTCTCCTCGCTATCTCTCCTGGCTGTCTCTCCTCACTCTCTCCCCTGGCTCTCTATCCTGGCTTTCTCTCCTCTATGGTCAAAAAACTAAAAATGAATCTGTATTTCTACATTGAATTTCGATACATTCTATCCCGCTCCTAATAACCAGATCCATCTAGACGTTTATAAACTTACTTATTGAATATGTCCATAGGAAAGTACCACTTCTTCAGGACCATGTGCTTGTACTGAAAACCATGCCATGATATTACATGTGATTACTATTCAATGAATAGAAGGAACATTACAGTATTTGTATGATTTATAACAGATTCATCTTTATACATGGCAGCCATCTTTGATTCAATCAATGGTTTTTAATACAAGCACATGAAGAAGTGGTACTTCTGTGAAACGCGTAGACCTAGAGAAAAGTGACGTGTAAAACATTAACTTGTGTGGTATTTGTACAAATAATCAACAGTCCTGTGGCAATGTATTACAGAGTCCATCTATAGGATGCACGGTTATGCTTTTTATAATACTTAAAGGAGAACTATGACATGAGTGATTTCCACTCACCTCATAGTTCTAAGCCGACCTGTGACAATGAGACTGTCACAGGTCGGCTCAGTAGATCGGGAGGTGAGCGAACACATACCGGGTTCCCTCACCTCTCGATCCTGTCACGGCTCTCTGCCGTGACAGGGGGAGGGGCTGGATTCCCCTCTCCCCGCTCCGATCTGCCAGCGCTGACTGGCGGAACGGACGGGGGAGGGGGCGGGTACAGCTGGCTCTGCCTCTAGATAGGCAGAGCCAGCTGTCACTCACGCAGCTGGGCGGATCCCGTCATCTACGTCGGGATCCGCTCCAGGTGCGGCGTCTCAGTATACCGCGAGCTGTAGCTCGCGGTATACTGAGCTTAGGGTGACGGGAGGACGCTAGTTTGTGTCCTCCCGTTACCCCAAGGAGAACTATGGGGAAAAACACTGACCCCATAGTTCTCCTTTAAACATATCTTTTAGAATTAAATATATTAATAAAGCAGAATTATATTTTTCATAATGTGTTGATGTATATTTTGATTATTTTTCACTTATGCTATTACTGAACACAAAGTCCTATTAGCAAACTTTTTGTGTTTTCTAACAGGACGTTGGTTAAATGTCGCTGGGCGTCATTGAACCAGGAAGAGAAATGGCGTTTCAGCGTTGTGTCTGCAGGGGTGCAGCGCTGAATATTGGGGAGCAATAATAGCCGGAGGTGATGTTTTATTTTCAGAAATGCTGAGGACTAAATAGTTAAATGTTTGACCAATCTGCCACTTTAAAAATTTAAAGTGGCAGATTGGTCTTTGTTTCCATAATTTTTATGACACCAGTGAGCAAAACAAATTGGAAGTTAAAGAGATGGTTCCACTGGGGATCGAACCCAGGACCTTCTGCGTGTAAAGCAGACGTGATAACCACTACACTATGGAACTGAAGTGGTTATTGGGTGGGTTAGGAAAACAATTAGAGTGATGACCCGAACCAAAACAGAATGCAACCGAGATGGGTCCGGGCAGCGTATTCCTGCGTATTTTACGCGCATACGCATGTTTCCACATGCTTACGCGCGTATGCTAGTGTATGTGCGTACAGTTCATTAAAATTTCTATTAGGAATGATGCATTCTGGGAATGCAAATAGTGCACACATACACGCACATACGCTCGTATAGACGCGCATAGACGCAATATACGATTTTGCTCTTGCCTTGTGTGTGAATGAGGCCTGAACGTAGTGGACAGTAGGTGGAACCACAGCACGCAGTGGGGGATAATGGCATCTGAAACACCCAGAAGCGTGTTGGCAGCAGAAGATTTTTTGAGTGCTGTAGCTCTGCAAGAGAGTTGGAGTCTCTGGTATATTATAAACCATCTTTTCCGGGGAGACTTTTTTAAATTTTTGTTTTTCCAGTGACAGAGTCCCTCCAAAAAGAGTCCTGTGGATCCATCTTTTAAGGTCTTCAGGAAGAGAAGTGTTGTATAGCACAGAATTATATGACAACGGTCTGTAATCCCTACTTTCCTCCTCAACCCAAACACCTAATGAAGTTTTAAAGGATATCTAAACCCTTGAACAAGAATGTGATGTATTTCAGCTTCTCAGTCCTTGTATGTGGCGGCTGCATTAGTTTTCTTTTTTCAAGGTATTGAACAAATCTTACCAACCTGTAATGCTCTGTCCGTCTTCCCGCCCAGCTCACTGATATCATTGGTTGCCAGGAAGCTGAGCCGGACACTTTGGATGGTGTTGGTACTTCTTGCACAGCCTCACAGAGAAACACAAGCACACAGTCAGATATGCATGCTGCTCATGGCTTGAAAACAGGATGGAAGCCGCAGCCTTATTCTCTACATTATTCAATATGACAGAGAATATATACCATAGATATAACAGAACACTGCCATCTAGTGACCGGAAATGTATACTGCAGTAGTTGATGCAATAGACACAATGTGTATTCTAACAGATGGTGTCCCGCCAAGCTCCTGCCAACCAGTGATGTCAGTGAGCTGTGCAGGATGGGCTGCCACACCGGACAGCTGGACGATCAGCAGCAGCACCCCACCATGACCAGCAGAACCCCACACAGGTGCCCCCCAACCCGTCCCCGATGGCAAGCAGCAGCATGCATCAACCCCAACCGCCCAGGAGTACCAGCAGCAACACCAATCCCACCACCACCATCTGCTCAACGGCCTCAGGAGGCATGAAAGGTACCACTTGGGTACTGGTGGGGGGCACTGGTGGCAGGGCCGTCTTTAATATTGATTGGACCCAGGGCAAACATTTTCTTGGGCCCCCCGCCATGCACTTTCGCTCTCCAAAAGAGTAGATAGGAGGAGACGTCTTAGGGGGACGTCACCCCGCATGACACATCACGCGGTCACACTCTGCAGCATACGGCAGGGGCAGAGCTACACTACGCAATGCGGAGCGCATAGTAAACAGAACGATGACACGTGTGCATCTTTTGCGGGCTCAAGGGGCAGCTGCTTTGGGCCCCACAACAGTGACTGGGCCCGGGGCAACTGCCCCTTTTGCCCTGCGTTAAAGACGGCCCTGACTGGTGGGGTATGGTACAGGCATTGTACCCCCAGCATGGGCAGGTAAGTTTCTGCCTTCTGGGTTTTTAAACTATATTCCCATATCTGATGATAAACCAAACCATTTGACAAACAGTATAACTTTGTCCATTATCTGCTACCACTAAAACTACATCCCGGTTCCCTTTTTCTGGACTTTACTTTTTTTTTTAACATGTGAATTTATTAGCGGCAAAGCACTAAATAAATTGGAGCAGCAAATTGATCAAACAACGCCCTCCACCCCCGTTTACTCAATAATTCAGAGCAGTGGCGCTGCAGCGACCGCTAATGATGCAAAGGCTTTCATTTCTGTGAATGGAAATTAATGCATCATTAGCCGCTCTCCCGAGGATGGATGTGCGAATCGACAGACAAAATGATGTACTTTGCTGCGAGACAAACATTGACAGGGTTCAAAAATAGAACCAAATGGTAAACAACAAAACACCGAAAAACACGAGTCAAAAAAGCAGAAAACAAGAAGTTTAAAATAAATAATAATACGGAGGGGAAAAACTTTCCAACTCTGCGCTTACATACGGGATGCAGCATGAAGCGGTTGATAGCCACATGAATGTCCGGCTGGGGTAAAAAGGCGCCAAATCAACTGGTGTGTTTTTCTTGTTGTTTTTTTTTTGTATTATTCTGCAACAAGCCAACATGACATGAACATCCTTTTCTATAATCTTTAGTATCTACCGTATTTTGCGCTCCATAACACGCACCTGACCATAAGACGCATGTAGTTCCTGACAGCTGAGACAGGTGGCGCTGTGATTACAGCGACACTGTCTCAGTGATCACACAGAGCAGACGAAGATCGGATGTTCTTCGTCTGCTCTACGGGCTCTATGGTGAGCTCCTATGCTGTGGTCACGGGTCCCCCAGAGGAGCGGGGGACCCCGAAAACTGCAGCGGGGGTGGGGGGCGGACAGGATCGCCGCTGTTCCTTTTATACAAGTGATCTAATCAGACCACTTGTATGAAAACGAGCGGCGGCTCCAAACTATACATTTAGCTCTGCTTGTCAGGAGCCGCGCTAAATGTACAAAAAAACTGCATGTCGGGGCGTCGGGCGATAGGGATTCCCTCAGTTCTCACACATTCACTCCATAAGAGGCACTGACATTTTTGCCCACCTTTTGTGCGTCTTATGGAGCATAAAATACGGTATATGCTAGACCTCTATAACTAAGACCTGAGGGAAGTTGAAAAGCGTCAGTTCCAGCTGGAGATGTAAGTGGCCGTGAACAATAACGTTAGTATAATACTGAGACCAGCAGATCTGGAGGGTCCCAGTGCCTTCTGATTTGAACGGATCTATCTGATCTGGTCATGGGCTAGGAAGGCAGGGGGCCCACGGAGTCAAGCTCCCCCTGGGAGTGCCCGAGTAGCACTATGGGTTTGGGACCCCACTATGTGAAAGCCACTCAGGCCATGACACCAAAGCTTTTTCTGCACTATGCCTTTGGGCTGGTCCTTTTGGTGAAGACCAGGGGTCATTTTTATACCGCAAGGCCTAGCCATTGTCTTGCACTTTGGCACTTATCTCACTTTGTGCACTTTCACTTTTTATATGTGTGCTTTTTTTTCACTCCACAGGTGAGGGTTTGAAGTCTAGCGGGAGGATGGCCATGAGGTTCCTTCCTCCCCTGAACTGGAGGTCTTTCTTCGGGAGAGCCCCCAACCTTGTACTCGGTGGTTGGCTTCTGCTGGCTGTGAGGAAAGCATCCGTCTGGTTATGGCCAGGTGGACATGACTACCTTGCTCCTGTTAAGGGGCCTTGCACCCCAGGGGGTCAGGGAAGGGCCCTATCTCTTCGAGAGATGGACCAGTTGACACACCGTAGTGCATTTGTTGTGTGTTCACATGCACTTTTTTTGTTCGTTATGGTGTTTCGTTTTTGTGCACCCACTGGTGGCTTCAATAGAAAATAGTTGTTCATCCTGTATTCCAATTTCTAGGTTACTATGGGGTAAAGACAGGCTCCTTTGGTGGGCACAGCACTCATGGCTGGTCAGTACAACCAGGAGACACTGAAAGCAGCACCACTTTATTAACTTAGTAGTTCCACTATTAGTTTCTACTAGTAGAGTTACCACCAGTATTTTACTGACCTGCCCAATGGAAATGGGACTAACTTTCAGTACTATTATTAGATCATAAGATCCCAGAAAAGAGGTAAGTCACAGTTTTTCCATGTTATTCCAATAGGAGATTTTAGGAATATATTGTATCTGAAACCCAAATAGTTTTTTTCCTAAATTTTGTATAGAGTAGGAAATGGTTAAGACCCCTGGCAGCTTAATGTTTTGGGTTCCCAATTGGGGAGATGCACCTTGTGCCTTCATTTCCTGTTCTGTGCATTCAACAGGAAGTGATAGGAAATCTCTTTACAGGGAAGGAAGTCCACTGTTCGGTAGACAGCCATGGGAAAGGGGAGACACAACCAGAAGAGACAGCCAGAAGCATGAGCGGGGAGGGACAGCCAGGAGAGAGTGAGGAGAGACAACCAGGAGAGAGAGAGGAGAGACAGCCAGGAGAGAGAGAGGAGAGACAGCCAGGAGAGAGAGAGGAGAGACAGCCAGGGGAGAGAGAGGAGAGACAGCAAGGGGAGAGAGAGGAGAGACAGCCAGGGAGAGAGGGGAGAGACAGCCAGGGGAGAGAGAGGTGAGACAGCCAGGGGAGAGAGAGGAGAGACAGCCAGGGGAGAGAAAGGAGAGACAGCCAGGGGAGAGAAAGGAGAGAGAGAGGAGAGAGAGCCAGGAGAGAGAGAGGAGAGACAGCCAGGGGAGAGAGAGGAGAGACAGCAAGGGGAGAGAGAGGAGAGACAGCCAGGGAGAGAGGGGAGAGACAGCCAGGGGAGAGAGAGGTGAGACAGCCAGGGGAGAGAGAGGAGAGACAGCCAGGGGAGAGAGAGGAGAGACAGCCAGGGGAGAGAGAGGAGAGACAGCCAGGGGAGAGAGAGGAGAGACAGCCAGGGGAGAGAGAGGAGAGACAGCCAGGGGAGAGAGAGGAGAGACAGCCAGGGGAGAGAGAGGAGAGACAGCCAGGGGAGAGAGAGGAGAGACAGCCAGGGGAGAGAGAGGAGAGACAGCCAGGGGAGAGAGAGGAGAGACAGCCAGGGGAGAGAGAGGAGAGACAGCCAGGGGAGAGAGAGGAGAGACAGCCAGGGGAGAGAGAGGAGAGACAGCCAGGGGAGAGAGGAGAGACAGCCAGGAGAGAGAGGAGAGACAGCCAGGAGAGAGAGAGGAGAGACAGCCAGGGGAGAGAGAGGAGAAATAGCAAGCAACCCCTTCAAGACTTATGTGCACCATGCGTTTCAGATACCTCCTTGCTACCAAGAT